CCGCCCCCCGACCCCCCCAAAATCAGGCCCGACGCTCTCTGCCACCACTGCAAGCCTGCAAACTTGCAAAGGAAACACCACCCCGGCGTGCACAGAGCACGAAGGGGAGCGCGCACGCGTGAAGGCAGCGGGAGAACAGGCAAAGCAGGCGTTAGAAGAGCAGTACCTGCGCAGCAGGGCAGGAGAGGGAGAGGATTACAGGAACAAACCGACAGGCGTGAGCTGGACACCAAGGACACACCGTAAATCAAGCCACAACACGGGTGCTGGCCAAAACTACGGGGCGATACAACCCAAGCTGGCCCCGTGCCTGCTCTGTCAGGATAATGTGAGGGCTGCAAAGTGTCATCACCTGTCAAGGAGCAGCTAGGAGGCACGATGAAAGCTCAGAAGCTGGCATCCCCTGTGCCTGGGAGAGCGGCGTATGCTCTTGGTACTTGGAGAAGCAGAGATGTCCCGCTGGCGGGGCTCTGGGACCCAGCAGGAAAGGAGGAGGAGAAGCCAGGACCAGGAGGCGAAGCCAAGGTTTCACCAGCTGACCGGTGTCCTTGCACGTGCGTAAACCACCAGCACGTACGCCTCGCCTACCCCAGCCACGGCCGCACTAAAGGCCACGTGGCAACGCATCCTCTGAGCCCGGATCCACCGCTCCGATTACCCAGCTACAACAGATAAATCCCACCCCAGGGCTCGCTCAACAGCTTGTCACACAGAATAAGCTAGAAGGAGAGGTCTGGCCCTCGTCCCAGGCCAGTGCTCTGGTCACTAGACCTTCTCTGCGCCCGCCTGTGACTCGCAGGGCGCTTCCTGTATCTCCACCTCTATTTGGGTCACCGTGCTCACGCTCACAGCAAATCTGGCGTTAGCTCCCCGAGGTCAATGCACTTAATCCAAGTTTACGTGACCGACTGGGATCAGTGAGCGGAACAGACGGTAGCGGGGAGGAGGAAGAGCCCGCTCCCGCGGAGATAAAAGTCTCTGCCGTCTCCTCGAGGCGGGACACAAGCGAGGCGAAAGCAATGCGAGGAAATTCAAAGCGTGCTCGCGCCACGAGAGCGCACACATGCCAGGAGGCAGAACGACGCTGCCCAAACCGTCCTGGCATTTCCTGGCCTAAAAGCTCTGCAGATTTGACATTCTTGGCAGCGACACGAACACAAAGGAAAGCAACTCAGCCCCCAGGTGTACGGGGGCTGTGAGAAGAAAAGGTTCTGCTCCGCAGAGGAGAAACATCTCGTTAATAGCAGCCTGCCTGGCCCTGCGTGCCTCAAGGACCGCCACCAGCTGGGGGACGAAAGGCGTCACGTGGCGCTGCGGACCAGAAATCGAGCGGCTCGGAACTAGAGCACCAGCAGGCACGGCTACCAAGGCCCCGACGAGCACGGGAGGAGGCGGCGAAGAAACACAGCAGTCTACGGAGACGCCGGAAAAAGAGGAGTTCGCTCGCTCTGCTACCAGGATGCTGCGAGCACAGCTGGGGACAGAAAGACAGCCGGTGTTTCTTACACCGCTTTTCATTAGTAAGGACTAATTCATTAGTAAGGACTAATTCATTAGTAAGGACTAATTTTCTGCGGAGAGGGACCTGGGTGTCCTGGTGGACGACAGGTTAACCATGAGCCAGCAGCGTGCCCTGGCTGCCAAGAAAGC